AATTACTTTGCATTGTTACAAGACAGGATGGGTATGAAGCAATTTGTTCAAGGTAAAAGGAAGCAGATTGTTAGGGATTGCTTTGGAAGTGTGGGGCCACTAGGACATTGGAAGTGCCCTAATTTTTTCTGTGACATAAACTTTATTCTACTTAGGAGTACTTAAGGTTAGGTTCTGCCAGAATGCTTTAATTTTCTTTATCTTAATTATTGTAATTTTATCGGTCTGGAATTTCCCTATTTTTAACTAATTGTAATTTTGTGTTTTATTTATTGGCTGGTCAATGACCAAATAAAGCATTCATTGATTGATTGATTGATTGATTGATTAGGGGTACTTAAAGTGGCTAACAGTGCTACAATAATTTAAACAGCCATTTGGTTCAGCCTCGAGATCTAGGTTTTCATATGGGCCTGCTTGGAAGGGACATGCAGAAATGTTGATCCCAGAGCAAAAAAGGTTCTGCTCTTTGGGCCCAAAGAGAATGTATTGGAAGGCAGATGCTGCTGAGGTACCCAGCTCCTAATCCATTTAGGGCTATTTAATTATTTGTTATATTAATATCCCACCTTTTTTCCTTTCCAAGAACTCAGGGCAGCTTAATAATTCTCCTTCTCACAACTTCTGTTGTGGGGGTGGGGAACAGTTACGAAGAAAATGATATATACGTTCTGTGGATATTTATTTATTTATGGCAGGGGGAAGGTACAAAGGTGAGCGATGGCCCGCTTTCCACCCAAAGTGGTGCTCAGCACCGTGCAGGCAGCCATGCGACAGGCTGCAGAAACTAGCTTTCTTCATACTATGTTGTGTGTGTCCATTGCGAACCCCTTTGGATTCAGAACCCACGTTAATCCCAACTCTAATTCCCCCACTCCACGTGCACCTGTCTTCCTTCTCTCTCGAGGGTGTTGGGGAGCCTCTGTGCAGGGGAGGAAGTGTCGGTCCACGCAGCTTTTCTGAACTCCCGCAGGTCTAGCTGAAACTTCTGGACGTGCCCTCTTCTGCCTAAGCGATACCCTTTGAAGATGAGGGAGCCCTGCTGTGCCTCTGCTCCCAAGTAACGCCTCTAAATCGCAGCAGCCAAATTGTTGTTACATCTTCGGTGCAGCCCAGTTGTGGGTTGCAGAGCATCATTGGAAGACGACGGTCATACACCGTGGGAGAGCACATTCTTCTGCCAGTAGTTCCTGCCTCTTGCTAGACATGAAGCAAGACAGTAGAACCTCTTTCGGCGCTGCACCTTCCCCTGCTTATGCCGTGAGCCTTCCCCAGCCTGGTGACTGCAATGCCAATCATCCTGAGCCAGCGCATCCATACTCCGTGAGGGTGAAGGGAGTTGTGGCCCCTCAAATTTGGAGGACGCTGAGTTGCGGAAATCTGGGTGGACTCAAAGCCACATGCTTGTCTGAATCGATTCACGCATGTATCTGCATGCTGTCAACATGTGCTCGTTTCTGAATGTTCACCTGGCAAAATACCGCTTGTCCAAATGCCAAGCATTTTCCCTTTCCAGATCACGCCTCTCCAAAATGGACAGCTCTCTTATGCTAGGTCACTTCCTAATTATGGCATTAAATTTTAAAGCACCATGCTACATTCTCTAATTTTTGCAGACTAACAGCTGCCCCCTCTGGAATACTAGGGTTTTAGTTTTGGTTTTGGAAAAGAGCATTTTATATTTATCTATTACATTCCTATATTACTCAACAGCTGCTGCTCTTTGGGCAGTTCACGACAGTGGTAGCCATAAAATCAGCATGATGATGTTCAATATAAATATATACAACTAGTGTAGAATTTTTTTTGTTTGTTTAACTGAGATAAAGCTTATCAGTGGTGCAAAGTTTTAAAATACAGTCACAGATTTAAAACAGAAACTGAAAAAATAATTATGCTTGAAGTCTTTTCACTGTCTTGTCCGGATTTGTATGCCATTAGTGTCTAATACACGGATGGCTAAATTCAACCTCTGTTGAACAGGAAGTCAGAAGTCCTTGTTATAGATGGATGGTATGCTTCAGACTGTACAGCCACTCATAAATCTTGCTCTTTATGCATTTGATTAACGTCTAACAAAGATTTTGATGGATGGCTTTGTAACGAATAATTAAACATTGTAGGACCAAACACTGGCAGCCTTACTTCTTCCTCAGGCAAACTCGCCTGATCAGCGAGCAGAAAAAATAGGATTCTGCAGCTTTGCATGTACTGCAACCTCTGACTGCTAAATTCTAGCTGAAAAATAGAATACCTACTTCTGTTCTTTGATTACATGCATACCATTTATCATTTCATATAGTTTTATAGAATAAAACAATTGGAAAACCTGTTAGGTCAGGACCAAAACCTGACAATGAAGTTGGGTTGAGGGCTTGAAGCAACTTTTCATAAAGCAGCCCGAAGAAAATCCATGGTTGGATATTTCCTTTATTAGGACCAACCAATGCATCCAGTCTGCCCAAGCTTTTCATCAGGTGAGATGGTACAAACACAGAGGATGGGGAGAAAGAATAGAAATGTCCTGCATTTTAGCTGCTTTGTCGGCGATCAACGCTCCGTAGGGCTGGTCCTGCAGGGTGCTAATTACACAAACTTCTTTTGAAGGACTCTGTTCCCAACCAGCTTGTCTTCCTGTCTGTGTTACATTTTCTGTGACCTCCTTCCCATTTCAGGTTAACATTCAAGTCCCTTGAGTGCCACCTTGAGCTTCGCAGAAAACAAGAGGCATTCTTGTCTGACAGACATGTTGGGAAAGGACCAGAAACAGACGCTGGGTGGGAATGGTGTTCTTCCCCAGCCCACGAGCCATTTTGTTTCAGATGCTAGATGCCAGACTTGGGACAGGCCGTGTGGGTGCCCAGCTCTTGGCTTGAGCTCACCTAGAGCTTGGCTTGTCCTCATTAAGTCTGTATGCCTGCAGAAGCAGACCAGTAAGGCAGTCCCACTAACGCCTGGGAAGAGAGGGAATGAAACTTGTGGATGAGGCGGAGAGCGCCGTGTGTCTGGCCAGCCTCTTCCCCTTTTGGCAGCGCAGTGCACAATTCCTCTTGCATGAATTGGGTCCGGAGCCCGTTGAGTCGCACCGGCCTGTTATCTGAGGGGCTCTTTCAGCTTTCCTGCGAATGAATATCATTTTGCCTCCTCTTATTGCCGTTGTGGTGATTACTTTGTTCCTGCTGAGTTGTGCATTACCCAGAAGATTGCAGTCATGCTGCATATAAATGGATATCATTCTCTCCTGACTCACCGCGCAAGCTTTTTCTTTCGGAAGAAGAAAGAAGGTCTTCCAGAAAGCGTCAGCACCATTCCGTGCATTACATGGTGGCGCGGCTCACTGCCCACTTGACTGCGGCCAGCCCCAGCTTTCTGGCGCAATTTTGAGCTTCAGAGGCCTTCCTGATTCTCACACTGCGTTATCGGCTGCGCTGAGCACTTAAATTGTAGGCATGCACCAGAAAGATACAGAGCAATTCCTCCTTTAAAAGTGAACTGAGCAAGTTGGTAATTTGCTGTGAAAAATAGCCGCTTGCCTTATTTTCCTTGCCCTGGAATAGGAATGCATTAGAAGTCTCTCTGCGGTGGAGTTCTAATTGAGATATTTACGGATAGCAATCAGGTTATCTTTATTTAATTCTCGGTTGTGTCTAATTAGCAGCTTAGTACCATTGGCCCGGTTGTTATTTTATGGTAATTTGTTTAAATAGGATCCTCACTTGGCTGGTACCTTCCTACCGTGTTCTTCTCCGCGGCCAGGCAGCTTCCTAGCAGGGTTGAGGACGATACCCTGTCATCGCCCTGTGCTCTCCTAAGCCCCAGGTGTTGTCAGGATCCCCAACCTCTTGATCAGTGTCCGTGGATTGCCCTGCTACTTCGCCTCCTCGTCCTGCACTGGCCTAGCATCAAACGGACAGACGTCTCTCGTTTACCATCAACTGGATAGGCTAATTGCAATGACTGAACCAGTCGGTTAAACCTTAAGGCGTCTCGACAGCACAACAGAAGGCTTACACTGCCTTATCATGGCCTTCCATGACATTTTGGGCATTCTCCTTTGATGAGGGTTTGTGAAGACTTTGCGTTTGAGAGAAAGCGAGCCACAGGGCTCCGTGCCAAGGAGGCGTCATGGCCAGATGGATGCAGGGCCATGGAGTGACTGTGCCCTGCTGCTTATCTGAAGACGGCAGTGCAACGTTTGCCCAACACAACAGGCACTCTCGAAATGAAGGGCGACAGATGTTTTCTGGGGGGAAACTTCGTTGCTGCCTACCCCCCTTCCCTCCGACAGCCTTTTTGGCTAATAGGGCAGGACAGAAATCAATCAATCAAATAAATAAATTTTCTTGTTTGGGAGTTCAGAAGAAACTTTTACTGAAACAACCAACATTTATAGCCAGTTCTCCGAATTTTCCACATGGAGTGACTTTTATAGAGTAATGGCTGATTAGGAATTTCAGATAGTCCCTGAGTTACAAGTCCCCAACTTACCAACAATCCGTACTTACAAATGAACGGCCATGAAGCCCATTAATTTTAAAAAATACTGTGGAAAATAGTCATTACCATAGAGAGAGGGAGATGCCTTCCTGCCCTACCCATCTGGAGAGGGAAATCTCTCCACCATTTCCTTGCTGCTAAGAGGAGGCACGGGTAAGTTTGGGCAGCGGGGCTAGAGATATTCATGGTTTTTCCACTTCACGGGTGTCCTGTGTCCCTAACCCCTCCAGATGTGGAGGGCCAACTTTACATGATTGAACATGCATACAAATTTGACTTACAGCCACTTTTTCTCAGGTTGAAACTGGTTCGTAAGCCAGGGCCTGCCTGTACCTGTTTTATCAGTAAAGCCAAAGGCCTTGGGTGGACAAGTCTTTTATAGGGTGGTAAACTGTTTGTGTCCATATCTTAGCTTTACTATGTCTCCTACTGGTCACACGAGGCTGTTCACAAAACCTTTTGAATGGGTTACTTGAAACACTGTTCTTTCCATTTCTCTGCAGATGCTGCTCACGGAGTACTTGGATATGAAAAATACACGGACTTCTTCAGAGCCATCGGCTCAGCTTAGTTATGCCAGCTCCGGAAGGGAATTTGCAGCATTTTTTGCAAAAAAGAAACCCCAGAGACCCAAAACTTCTCTCTTCAAGTAAGCCGCTCACCTTTTCTTTCCAAATTATACTTTGCGTTGCAATTAGACAGTCTAGGAGTCTCCGGCAGAGCCCTGTGCTTCAGAGTAAACCAGTATTTTGTTAGTCTAAATGTAATGGGGAGTGCCACAGATACTCTTGTTGTGTGGAAATCAGACATATGCCCCAAGTGGAGTCCCCCATTCACATGTTAACTAGAACTCTCCCTTGCCTGGGATTTCTAGGAGCAGGGGAGGTAGAATCCTGGCTGAGGAAAACCAGTGGTTGACTCTAGCACTTGTCCTTTCCCCGGAATGCAATGCCAGTCTGCTTTCCCATTAACATGCGAGTAGAGCCAGAAGGGTAGGCAGCCCCCGTGTCCCTTCTAGGCTCAGCAACTGCTGCAGAGGAGGGCAGGACTGCTCTTTCCTGTTATTCTCTGAAGAAATAACGGAGGCTGCCAAGACTCCATCCCTACAATCCAGGTTTGTTTCAGAGCTCTCTGCCTCTGATAGACAAATACTTTCACACAGGCTTGTGCAGGAATGCCAACAGAAAGCTACTGAAGGACAAGAGCAAAGCTTGAACTGTGATGTTCGTTGTGCTGCCATGTTCTTTGGACTTACCCCAGGATTTTCTGCTTGGCCCATTGTCCTTTGATGTTCCCAATCACTGCCATGATGTAGTCATTAAATATTATGTTGGCTTCTAGGCTTCGTCCAGCCGTCCATTTCTAACCTCTGCTTGATCATCTCACAAGATGTTTTGGAGACCAGTAGACCAGAATACAACACATTAGTGGAAAGTGGTGTATCCATGCTTTAAGTATTAGTAAATTATGGGCAGGGGGAGGCAAATTGGCTGTTTTGGAGTAACATTTCTTGGTTTAAATTTCTTCATATATCTTACAGTGTTGTACAGAATGAAACACCTCCTCTATCTACATGCACTCAGTAAAATACCTGTGTGATTTATTTTTAATCCATAAAAGGGACTATAAATTCTGAAAGTGAACACCAGCTAAGAGGAGCAGGAGTTAAAACTCCTGGGACTAAACACAAGGGACTAAAATGTAGAGAGGAGGCGAGGCAGAAAATTCTGTTCAGATCTGAGCATTTGCACAAGCCTTGTGCTACCTGTGCGCTGGCGGGTTGCTGCCCTTCTCTGCTTTCTTAGCATGGGTGGTGAAGCCAGCCGGGAAGCTTCAGTTAGCTATAGGTTCCTGTCACATGTGAACCAGGATCTGCTGGGAATGAAAGCGGCAGTTGTTCTTGGCACATGTTGCAAGGCTGGGGTGACACTGACTCTTGGGATAAGGACAGTGAAGCCTGGGAAAGGAGGTCTGCAGACACAGAGATGGCGGAAGGGGGAGCTTTCGTCTCCAGGCCGCTCTCTTCAGGCAGACGCTGGGAACTGAGAGGGTCTGGGGTGCTGGGCAAGGGCCTGGGAGAGGAGCCAGGCCTGATCCTTGGCCCCATGACATGGCACCGGGAGAGTAGGCCTAGCTAACTAGAGGGTCTGCATACAGCTGGGAGACTTGTGCATTTCCAGAGACACACTCCCCAAGGCATGGGGGCCAGGGTTACTCAAAAGGAGGGTTCTTGGAAATAGTTTCCAGTTAAGGTTCAATGAACTACTCTGTGCATGCTCAGAGACTCTTTGCTGGCTACAGCTTGCTTGGTTGTACATTGGAAATAAAGAGCTTTAGTTATTATTTACAATTTCCAGATTTTCCCGGAAAAGTAATATCCAGGAAGTGTTCTCTCAGTGTTCTGGGAAAGGACAAGCAATTGGTGGGGACGTGGCCAGGGAAAGTCGAATATGGGATCTTGAAACTTCCTTGCCGAACTTCTGCCTCTGCTCTGGCAAAATAACGGAGTCGGGATGTTTTCCCTGCCTAGGAGATTTCTGGGAAGAAATACCCTTTTCTGGCAGATGTGCCGCACACTCACCGGTGGCGCGAGGTGGCAAGCAGCCTGGCGTGCCCTGCCCAGCGGGGCCAAGGGCAGGGCCTCCGCGCGGGAACACCTTCCTCAGATGGAAGGCTTGGCTTATCGCTCTCCGAGCGATCCCCGGCTCTCCCCGTCCCCTGCAGCTTGGCATGTTAACACCTCCGCGCCATTGCTTCAGCGCGCTTGCTTCCGTCTGACAAAAACGAAGTAAGGCATAATTGCTTAATGAGAATAGCATGTCCCTTGCTGCTCACAGGCTTGTCATCACTCTCACTGCAACGGCGGCGGCCATCCTTGCTGGGCTCCGTGGCTGCATTATCTGTCAGCTGTCACGGCATCCGCGGAGGTTTCTCCGTCGAAAAGGCATTTTTCATCCCTTTGGAAGACGCGCACCTTTGATCATGCCTCCATGGTGCTGTTTGTCCTTCCCTCAGTGTTCGTCTCATCAGACAGAGGCAAATGCTTCCTCCTCCTCTTCCTCCTTCCCCGTTTAGAGGGCCACCCACCTGTCAGTAAACTGCCTGCTTTTTAGTTTGCCCACTTGAGTAATAATCCAACCAAGGCCGGGTCCTGCTGCAAGGCAGTCTCGGGTGGCCCAGGCCGTATTTTTCAGGAAATGCAGCAGGAGGAATGGCATTCCGAGTCCTGCCTCATGCAGTGGGTCCCTGGTGAGCAATGGACCTGAATCACTGCTCTCTGTGCATGTACTCTGGGCAGTTTACTGCAGCCAGCAGATGCTAAAAGGATGTGTGCTTTGGGATCTGAAAGGAAAGGGACCTGGGACTGGGGCTGTGGGGGAACCTTGCCTTTCTTCAGAAAGGTTGAAACCAAAATGGTAAGGACAAACACATTGCTGTGAACAAGTCACATGTAGACCCTTAGGTTCCAGCAGAGATGCCTCAGCTATCTAGAGGTCATCTTTTCGGATGAACTGTGCCGTCTCTGATCTGGTTGAGCCTCAGGTGATGGGAGCTTCCAGCCTCCTCCCTGCACCCACGCCAGAGGGCAAGAGGGGAATGTGCGGAACCGGCCGCATCCCCACAGCTCACAGGCTTTCGTGAGGTCTGAGTGCTGCCATGGCGGGGCACTGGGGCCGGCAGAGTCTGGCATCGATTTAACTATCAAGGGGCACTTAGTCTGTGGGTGCGCTGGAAAAGACATTCAGGCTCGCTCTTGGATGACAGCTGGATGAGGCTTGTACTGCATTGTAAAGGTTGCAAAACACGGAAACGGAGCGAGTCAGAAGGGGTGCCCTGGGCCATCTAGTCTGACCCTCGGTTCCAGCCGGCTCCGGGTCTGTGTTGCTAAGTTGCCACAGTTCTGAGCTAAGAAAACTGCATCTTAGGATCAGGCTTTTTACATTACTATTTTAATTAGATGCTCTGTTCCTTTCCTTTCCTTTCTTATATACCATGTGGATAATACGTATAAGGGGAAGGGGCTGGAACCAAGGTAGGTACACTTTTTAAAAGGTGCATCAACTTCCATTGATCTGGAGACTGCCACTGTCTTGTTACGGTGGCACTGTTCTCAGTCCGTGGAAAACCAAGGGCCGGGGCCTGGACTCCCAGGCTGCCAGGAGGAATCTCAGCATTGGCTTTGTTGGCCACCTCATCCATCACAGCACACACAGCAGCACATCGATGTGGGTAAATGTCCGAGTCAGGATTGTGCAATGGGCAGAGCCACGTTTGCCTGCCCCGGGGGGGGTTGTGGTCTGTCTTCGCCATGGAAGCAGGAGCAAGGAGAAGAGAGTCACCTCCTGCCGGGGCTTCCTCATTCGGGTCTGCTTCTCCTGCTGGAGGCAGCACGCACGAGCACCAGTGCATGGGGGGCAAGGCAGTGGAGCCATTGGCACATAACTGCACACCCACCCACGGGCGACCAGCCAAACCGTGCTGCCCCCGAGTGGTCTGCGTTCGGATGCCACAGCCAGCAGAGCGGACTGCGGGTTGCTAAGCTGAGTGTGGGGCTCAGTGAGTTCCGCTCCACTTTCGGGATAAAAAGGCGGGCCTTCTGCTTCGTATGCAAGCAGGGCAAATGAGTATAGCTTTTCTCTTCACGTTATTATGTATTTCATTCTATTTCTATGCTGCCCCATAACCTGCAGGCTCTCTGAGCAGCTTACAAATGCTGGAACAGCGTAAAACATACATTATGCTGGAGCCAGGATGCAGAATGAATTCTGCAAAATGGTAACTCTAATGGCTCACAGGGCAGGGCCGTTGTCAGCCGTACAGAGAAGAGGAGGCTGGTTGGTTTTGGGAGGCCCCTTCCCTTGTCCAGAGGGCTTCTGCCAATATCTGTCGTGTGCCTTCTTGGAACTGCCTTTGGCTTGGGTCACCCATAGAGTAAAGCTCTGGACTCTGCGGTCTGCCTGTAACGCCTGTGGTGCACTGTGCTTCTCCCTGCAGGTTTGAGTCCTCTTCCCACGCCATCAGCATGAGTGCTTATCTGCGGGAGCAGAGGAGGGAGCTGTACAGCAGGAGTGGAGAGCTGCAAGGTAGGCAAGAGAGCCCGTGCGGCATTGTGGTGGGGGAGCCAGAAGCCCCCAGGGGGACGTGGGGGCGGCCACTGCCCCTCAGCCCAGCCTGCCCCACAAGGAGCTTGTAAGTGGAGCCGTGCAAGCCACCTGGGATTCCTCACAAGAGGGAAAAGGTGGGACATAAAGGTGATGTAATAATAATTATGATAGTATTTGCTTTGACAGCAGTTGGCTACTGAGCCATAAATCTAAAATAAATCAGAACTCTTTTGAAATGGATAATCAAACTCTGCCTAAAACTTCAAATGTGTTAGTTACCTCATGATTTTGTGTTGGGCTCACTGTGCATGACCAGTCAGATTTCAAGGAAAGGTATTACAGAAATATTGCCAAATTACAAATGTTTTTGCACTCCACTTTGTATAAAAGTAGAGCAGGGTTCAAAATGTGATACTCAGTAATATACTCAATCTGTGTTTTTAGAAAAGTGAGCCTGGTAATTTAGAATTCAACAGTTTTTCTTTCAGGATGATGGTGGGCTTGGCTGAACAATCTTTTCCATTGTGTGGTTTAGTGTGTATTTGTCAAAGAGGTGGCTCTGCTGTAACGTGGATCTGGAGCCCTGTGCACTCCCAGCGCAGAAGCTTTGGGCGGGCATGGCCCCTCCCCCCCCTCCCCCAGCCCTTTCCTGACTCGGGGCAAACCACAGTTTGCTGATGCACATGGAACACCACACTGTGGCCGCACTCAGAGCACAGAAGAGGCTGGGAGGAGAGGGCGGAGACGAGGAGGAGTCCAGCTGCCTCCTTGTGCATAAGATGTGGGGGAACATGCCTGTTGGAGCCCATATATAGGGCTGCAGCCCCATACCTACAGCCCCAGCCCAGGAAAGTCCACGAGGTGCCCCGTGCAGGGGAGCGAGTGTTGTCCAAACAGGAAACCCCGTTTATTTGTGCATTCGGAGGTATTTACGTGGTGGAGATAATTACTTCTGTGTTCCTCCCCTCTTTTTCTTCCCTGCTTCTCCATTTGGCCACCCTTTGCCAACCAGCCTTGACCTTGGTTGAGGAGGTGCGCCTTGCACTACCTGTGGCGGCGATGGCGCGCGCACGCTCCATGTCAGCATGCTGCAGTGGTGTGAGACTGAATGTACAAGTTGGGAAGCACAAAATGGGCCTAGAAATTCCCGAAAGAGACACTTTTATTGAGAAACGAATGGCCTGGTTCTCTTTCGTCATACAGAACATTGTGGGCAGGTCATCGTGCAGGCTGGAGGGCGGAAGGTGATGGCTCGATGCAGTGGAGCGCCTTGACATGGTGCGTGAAACGAGGTATCGAGGGTTGTAGTCACTGGGTGGCATTTGTTGCTGGGTTGCAATAAAGCTCCCCGGAATGGGTCCCTTTCACGTTCACGGACTTCCTCTCATGGTCAGTCCAGTCTTGCAAAGTGAGCTGACCCGAGAGGAAGTCCACAGACACTGGCAGAACGAAGGTAGTGCGACTGGAAAGCCCCTTCCATGCAGTGCGAGGGCTCAGTTCCTGGTGCGCGCCCTGTGAACACTTGGTGCATTTGCCAGGAGCATGGGCTCGGGGCCGCAACGAGGTGGACTGGAGGCTGGGGGCTGAGCTGCGTGGATCCATCCGATTCCCAGCCCCAGTACGGATTCTTCCACATCCATGCCTGATAGCCAAGTTCTGGGGGTCATGAATATAGATGAAGGCATATGCCTTTAACCACCGATCTTAGAAGCGCGAACTGTCAGCTGTAGGAATCCAGGGCATTGTTGCTGTACCCAGTGGTTAGAATTGTTGATCGTAGAAGAGGAGAGTTGGAAGGGGCCAGGGGGGCCACCGGGTCCAACGCCTGCTCTTGCAGGGCCCCGATTTGCACCGTGCCACCACTTAACGTGAGTCAAGCTTGTTTCCGGGAGTGCTTATGCCCAGCAGCGCTTGCGACGCCCACTCGGGCCGCTCCTCTTCCCCTCCAGTCCAGTGCTTTCCTGGAGCACAGCCTTCAGCGGGGTGGCGGCTGTGTCCCGGTAGAGGTGAGGAGGTAGTGGAGGATGGCTCCCCTGAACAGGCACGGAGGGCCATTCCACACTGAGCCCAGTGGGACCACCCTGGCATGCGCGATGCCACTTCCAGGCAAACCTGAGCTCCTGCGCCTTTCTTTCAGGCACTAGCCCCCGATGCTCGGGAGATGGACTTGGGGAGGCACGTGGCGTGGGGTGCTCTTCTGACACCTCAGGAGGTGATCACAGGACGCAGCTGGGCAGCTCTGCTTTAACAGATCAGCTTGCGGGTGCTGGGAAGGGATGAAGCCCTGGACCTCCTCCACATCCAGAAACAGGGAGCAGGGCGGCAGAGCCTTCCGAGCAGGGCGCAAGTGAGATTCCTCATCGGAATATGTATTTTGATTTACATGGCCCAATGGAGGAGGAGTGGGGGGGGGGGGGTCCAGTGTGAAGTTCTCTCCAACTTGAAAGCCGTTGCAATGGAGCGGGCCCGGCGGGGGTAACAAGGACGGCAGCGAGCAAGCACAGTGGCCGTGATGCTCAGTGGCCGGGGCACATGCGTTAGCATGCCGAGCAAAGGGAGGTCTGCAGACCAAGCACCTTCCTAACAGGGATAGGTGTGACACTGGCCCTTCCTTGAAAAGCACGTGCGCGTGTTCCCACATGCATTGCAAACGTGGCGTTCCGATGAATTCACCATTAGATCTCTTACAGCTTTCGTGTTCATTGCACTAATGGTTCAGTCAATTCTGCCCAGCAGCATGGCCTTCAAAGAGCAGCGCCACACAGCCGTCACCTTTCCTGTAATTAACGAAGTGCCCTTTGCGTGGCAGTGACTATAGGATTTAATTACTGTTGCTACCAATGCCTCCTGCCGATTCTGACTCTGCCTGGAATGCGGAGCCAACGACACTCGAAGGGGAAGCTATGGAAGTTTATTTATGGATGTGAGCCGCCCCAAGGCTTCGGCGAATGGGGCGGCATAGAAGTCTCCTAAATAATTGAATAATAAATAAATAAAAGCGGCTGCCGCTGCCGCTCTTTTGCCAGCCGGCCAGCACTTCCTGCCTTTGGAGAAGGGCTGCAGAAGCTGCGTTTCCACCGGGACGCCCACACTGGCTGGCCGAGCAAACTGTTGCTGGAGGTGATGTTCGTTGCATTACAGTTCCTCCTTGCTGGCTGCCGCATAGCCAATCAGATGCTGCGCCAGCAGGCATTCCAGTTCGATAAAGGTGCAAGACCCGCTGGCGTGGCATCTTGGGAGAAGCATGGTGAGGAGGGTCTCCTCATTCCGCACAGGTTGATTTGCGCATCATGTTGGGTTGTGCTGCGTCGTGTGCTTTCTTGTCTGCTTTTATTTTAGCGGCTTCTACGCTGCCTCAGATCTCATGCTTTCCAAGCAGTTTACATAAAAACACATCCAGTCCCATTTAAAAACCCCTATCAAACCAGCATAGAGCAATAAATGCCTTTAAAACATTGCAACCAAAAGAGTTTGGTGTCAGGGAAGTCAGGGAACGCCTGAGCAAGCAGCCGCTTTTCAGGAGGCCTTCTAGGAGACAGAGCTGTGGTGTCGGATGCATACCCTGGAGAGGACTCACTAGTCGTTGGCGCACCTGCCTTTCCAACACACACTTGTTAAATTTGCAGGCTGTGAAGGCTACAACATGCTGGGCCCCACCTCTCACATCTGCAGATACCTGGGTGCGCACAACATGGAATTTATTGGAGGCTTGCTTGATGAGTGATGCTTAGCGCATTTACTGCACATGGGCAGTGTGTGGCACGGAAGGGGAACTGTGACTTGCAGGCCTCATCCGCCTCCTGGAGCTTCCCCAGCAGTTTGCAGAGCCTCTTCGGATTCCTGTGGGGATGGAGCTTGGCCTTTGCACCGAGAGAGGCCCAACGCGCCTGCTGTCACCACGGGGAGAGTGGGGTGGAGTCTGAGCCACGGCTGGGGTGGTGGGCAAGGCACCCTCCCACCTAGCACGGGTTGCCAACGCCTGGCATGGAGCACAGGGAGGAGAGGGGCTGGTGAGCAAGTTCGAGGGTCAGCACTAAGGTAACCCAGAGTGCCGCCTCCCCAGTTCCAATTGCCTGGAGAAACATCTGTGTGACGTGGTGGTTACCATGTTGGAGTGGGACTTGGGAGGTCCACCTTCTGGTCCCCACTTGGCCATGGAGCTCCCTGGGTGACTCTGGGCTAGTCAGTGACCCCCAGCCTACCCTACCTCGGAGGGTGGTTGTGCAGAAAAACATGGATAGGAGGTGGACCATGTAAGCTGCTGTGGGTCCCTTGCAAGAGAGAAGAAAAGTGGAATATTAATGAAATATTTGTTTTAAACATCTGGAATATTGCAGAAATAAAGTGGGGCTGTTGTGATGATATTTAGTTACCCATTGCTGGGTTTCAGTTTCGGTTTTGGACTTTGGTCGACTTTTAGATCGGCCAGGCATCACTGGTGAGTTTGGTTCATCAAGATTTGAGTAATCGGAATCGTTCAATGCACGCTGTGCACACAGCTTGCCTTCACAGGAGAAGAATCCCCGGTGATAACTCCTATCCTTTTTGTGGAGTGTTTCATGTGAAAATGGAATCAACTTGCCAGAGGAGAAATGCGACAGATCCGTTTTTCTAGCAAGTTGCATCTTTTGGTCAAAGTGTGGGTTGCAGTGCCTATTAAATGCACCCAGTGATCCTTCTGACGGGAGTCACTGGAGGGGCTAGCCGAGTTTCCCACTGAAACCGTGTTCTCAGTTTGCCAACCAAATCTGTGAAGGAACCGCATGTGCAGGTCAAGAAAATCCAGGAACCTCTGCACGGTGCAAGGGAAGCAGCTTACAGCTTTCCTTCAATATTTATCTTTCAAAGCTCTGGCAGATGATTGCAAGTTTCTCTTAACTGTGGCTGTCTTCAAGAGCAAGGAACAGAATGACGGGGTCTCTTCTTGGTGTTCAACATTCTGCCCCCACCTCTGTCTAGTAACTGTTATACTAGCTTTC